AAAACAACAAGAACACCAGTATACTCCATTTTGCCTATCATATTTTACCATATTAAAAACAGGCATAATACTCATGGATACTGAGGGTGGAGGGGAGAATCCTCACCCATATACCATTGATGGAAGCAGAAACTGGCACTAGCATTGTAAGAGCAATTTGAGGTACCAACCAAAAATTTAAATCCACACAAATATTCTCAGCATTTCTGCTTACAGCAATCTAGCCTATATAAACATTCAAATAACTGTTGAAGGATATGTGTGAAGATATTCACAGCAGCATGATTTGTAATAGTAAAAAAAAAAAAAAAAGATACCCCTTCCTCAAAAAAACAATATGAACATTCAGCAGTATAAGGAATAAATGCATTGTTATATATTGGAACTGTGAAACTATAAGCTATTAAAAAAATAATGCACTGGGGACTCAGTTAAGTGTCTGCCTTGGGCTCAGGTCATGATCCCAGGGTCCTGGGATTGAGCCCCGTGTCAGGCTCTCTACTCAGCCGTGAGTCTGCTTCTCCCTCTGCCCCCACCCCCCCCCCAACTTGTGTGAGATCTCTATCTGTCTCTCTCTCAAATAAATAAATGCAATCCTTAAAGAAAATGTTAATGCATTGCAGTGCCTGGATGGTTAAGCATCCCACTCTTGATTTTGGCTCAGGTCATGATCTCGAGGCTGTGAGATCGAGCCCCGCATTGGGCTCCATGCTCATTGAGGAGTCTGCTTCTTTCCCTCTTCTCTCCCTCCGCCCCTCCTCCAGCACACGCTCTCCCTCAAATAAATAAAATAAATCTTAAAAAAAATACACTAAGTCTTCAAGTTTTGACATGGAAGGATATCCCTGATATACTGATGAATGAAAAAGCAGAAAAAATATGGCCTGTATACTATCAGTACAAACATATATAACATATATATATATATATATACACACACACATACACACGCACACACACACAGATATCTATAGGTATAGAGAGGAAAGACTTTCAAAGTGTATTTCATGTATTTATGTAATGCCTGATTTGTTTTTTATAATTAACGTATATTACTCTTAGAATTAAAAATGTAACCTAATAGTTTCTATAATTAGGAACACATTGAGTCACTCAGTAAATATTTACAGAGTGCCTACTACACATATCCAGCACTGACATAGATGCGATAAACAAAACTAATGTACTCATTAGGACTCGTGTGTGTGTGTGTGTGTGTGTGTGTGTGCGTGACATGACAGAGAATAAACCAATGAAAATTTCAGATAATAACAAGGAAGATGAAGAAAACTGTAAGTGGTGAGAGTTACTGCCTAGAGGGCAACTTTTAGATATGTGGCAGCTGGGACGCTTCTGTGGAGGAGAAGTGTGAAGGCCAGTAATGAAGAAATCCAAAGTAACAGAGGTGATAAGGCTGAAGAAATAGCAAGTACAGGGGTCTTCAGGTGGGAACAGACTTGGTGTGTTCAAGGAGGAGACTGACAAGTGTCTGTAGATTACCAACTAGGAAGAGTAACCTGGAATGAGATCTGAAAGGGAGGCAGAGGCCAGATCACATATACAAATGGGCTTGCAATGTACCTTGTTAGCTTTCAGGGTCCTTTTAAATGGACTCCGTTCCTTTGATTTAACATTCCAGGTTTCACACATTAGTCATCTGTAACTTACGGAGGCAGCTATGTGAATTCATGCTTTGAGGCTGGTGTGTCTAGGTGAATAAATCAGTTAGTATGTGAACCTGCCTGAAGCCTGGCATCGGAATCCCTATGCACTTATTTTCCTTTCGTCTATGTATAAGTAGTAAAACTTATGGATTGGGAAAATGTTTGATGTATACATAGTATATACACATACACATATATGTACACACACACACACACACACACACACACACACACCCTGGGAAGAAAACTGCTGGGTGGTATGATAGAAATCTATGGAAAGTGAAGAGCTCTAAGCAAGTGATGGTTCAGCTAGATAATATCTCTACACATGCCTTTAATCCTATATTTCACTTATCACATCCAACTAGCAAGCACACAGTTCATCTACTGGTCATTATTTTGAGAGAGAAAACTTCTTTTATTTAACTCCAGAATGTAATCTCTAAGAATTTCCAAGTATTTTGTAAGTTTTCGTAACACTTCATGTGGGTAGGTAAAGACATTTCAAGATCATTCCAAAATCACAACTCTGAACACTGCCTCCTGTTCAGGTATTACAGTGGCCTCTGCAACAAGGGCACGGCCACTTCAGCCTGTCCGTTTGGTGAGCTTATTGTCGAGAAGCTCTGTAGATTTGTCCCTGCTGGTTCTTATGAAGCACAAGCTAGACTTGCTGGGGGACTGAGAGGAGAAGGCCAGAGTCAAAAAAAATTTCGGACTGTTGGGATGCCTGCGGGGCTCAGTCAGTTAAGCATCTGTCTTCGGCTTAGGTCATGATCCCAGGGTCCTGGGATGGAGCCCCACTATCAGGCTCCTTGCTCAGTGGGGAGCCTGTTTCTCTCTCTGCTTGTCCTCCCCCTGCTGTGCTCTCTCTTTCTCTCTCTCTCTCTGAAAAATACATAAAAATAAAATCTTTTTTAAAATTTCAGAATGTTGGGATGCCTGGGTGGCTCAGTTGGTTAAGCAGCTGCCTTCGGCTCGGGTCATGGTTCCAGTGTCTTGGGATCGAGTCCCACATCTGGCTCCTTGCTTGGTGGGGAAGCCTGCTTCTCCCTCTGACTCTGCCTGCCATTCCGCCTGCCTGTGCTCACTCCTTCGCTCTCTCGCTCTCTCTCACAAATAAATAAATAAAATCTTTAAAAAATAAATAAATAAAATAAAATTTCAGAATGTTTATAAATTATTTTTTTAAGATTTTATTTATTTATTTGACAGACAGAGATCACAAGTAGGCAGAGAAGCAGGCAGAGAGAGAGGAGGAAGCAGGCTCCCTGCTGAGCAGAGAGCCCGATGCGGGGCTCGATCCCAAGACCCTGGGATCATGACCTGAGCTGAAGGCAGAGGCTTTAACCCACTGAGCCACCCAGGCACCCCTGTTTAGAAATTATTTAACAATAAACACTTAAAAAAAGTTATTGTTGGGGGATCTGGGTGGCTCAGTGGATAAGCCTCTGCCTTCAGTGCAGGTCATGATCCCGGGGTCCTGGGGTGGAGCCCATCATGCTCCCTGCTCAGTGGGGAGTCTGCTTCTCCCTCTCCCACTTCCCCTACCCTCTGCTCATGCTCACTCTCTCTCTCTGTCTAAAATAAACACATAAAATCTATAATAAATTGAAAAATTTGTCTTTTGGGGAACAGATACAAGAAAAAGACATTGGCTTTGTCATTCCTGAAATTGCCTAGTTTTACAGTATTGTTTCATCTCAACTTCTTTGCAAGGAAATTCAAATGGGCAATAAATATACGAATAAAATACAGTGTCAAAAACTTAAAACTTTTAAATGCCCAAGTTTGGTAAGGGGAAATAGGAGCCCTGATACATTATTGGTAGGAATATAAATTGTTTCAAACTTTCCAAAGGATAACCTGATAATGTGCTATATAGAAGCCTTAAAAGAAATTTATACTTTTTGACCCAGCAATTCCATTTCAAGGAATTTATCCAAAGAATTACTCACAGATATGTGTAATAATATAGCTAAAAGGAGATTTATAATAGCATTATGATAACAACTCCAAACTAGAAACAATGACTAATAAGTAACTGACTTAAATTATGGTACATCGGTAAAACAGAATATTACGCTGTTATTTAAAAAGGGTATGGTTGAAAATTATTTTAAAAACTTGAGTTACGGGGCACCTGGGTGGCTCAGTGAGTTAAGTGTCCAACTCTTGATTTCGGCTCAGGTCATATTTCAGGGTCATGAGATTTAGTCCTGGGACAGGCTCTGCACTCCACAGGGAGTCTGCTTCTCTTCCTCTCCCTCTGTCCCTCCCCCTGCATGTGCACACGCAGGTATGCTCTCTCAAATAAATAAAATCTTTAAGAAAAAAAAAAAAACAGAACAACTTAAGTTACATCCTCTGATCAAAAACCTCCAATGACTATTCAAGCCATTTGGGAAAAAAATCCAAAATCTTATTATGACCTACTAGGCCCCATCTGGCCTGGTTCCTGGCTTCCTACCTCAGGGAGGACAACTTCCCCCTGCCCCCACCTCATTCAACTCTTCTGATCTTACTCAATCATATCAAGTACCTTCGGTTTCAGGACATCTACCTTTGCTGTCCCACCTCAGTCTGGGAACACCAGTCCCTTGGTCAGTTCTAGAGCTTACGTCCTCACTATCTAGAGCTTACATCCACCCATGCTTTTGTATGTTTTGTTTTTCTTCATTGCCTTCATCACCACCCACATTATATAATCTATTGCTTATGTACTCTACAAATATTTTCTAGTCTGCCTCCCTCTACTGTAATAGAAGTTCTAGGGAAGCAAGGACTTCGTTTCATATTTTTCTGTATCTCTGATGCCCAGAACAGCACCTGGCTTAAAGTAGGCATTCAGGAAATATACCAAATGAATTTGTTAAATGAATGAATAACATGAAAAAATTCATCTTTACATATTAAGTAAAAAAAATAAAAGATCCAAAACAATATGTATAGTATGGTTTCATTTTCTACATCAAAGAATAGGAAAAAATGCAAGAAAGATGACAATCAAAATGTCAGCAATATTTATGAGGTGCCTGGGTGGGATAGTCAATTAAGCATCCAACTCTTGGTTTTGGGTCAGGTCGTGCTCAGGGTCACGATTGAGCCCCACCTCAGCTCTCCCTCTCCCTCTGCCCCTCCCCCTGCACACTCTGTGTCCCTCAAATAAATGAATAAATCTTTAAAAAAAAGTTACCAATATTTAAACTGTAAGTGATCTGTAGGTACCTTTCATAGTTGCTTTTCTATTTAGTAAAGTTTCTGCAATGGACAAATATTGCTTGTATATTAAGGAAAGAAGTGCATGCTTTTTTAAAGAAATAAATAACAACCTACCAGTCCATTTAAGTTCTTTATGTTGTTTCTTCCTAAAGACAATATCCTCAAGTTTTCTGCAGTGGGGAAAAAAAACACAGTTATTTGTTTATGAGAATCATATTACAGCTGTTGTAAATCTAGTATAATGAAGTGGTTAATAAACTATATAATAAATATACTTATCTAATGAGTAAGAAAGGCTGTATTAATAAAAAGTGGTATTCAAGTAGGAAATTGACTTACTTATCATTGAAGGTAAACACTACAACTATAATTTCACATCATGACAACATGAAATTTACAAATGGTCAGCTATTTTGAAAGCATGGTTTTAAATTGCTGGCTAGGAAAAATACTTCAGGGATAAAATAAGTAAAGAAGATTTGAACTTTAAATTTGGAAGCATATATATTTCAAATCTACTATAGCATAAGGACTCACATTAGAAAATAGGAACATATCTATGTATAGCCTGCCTCACTCCACAAAGGATTAAAAGTGAAATCAAATGAATTAGTATTTTAAAATCTTTTGCTTTCAAACTTTTAAAGAGTTAGATTGTGATTTGCTTTAAAAATGCTTATTTGTGGGGTGTCTGGGTGGCTCATATCATGCCTTTGGCTCAGGTCATGATCCTAGGGTCCTGGGATCCAGCCCTGCATTTAGCCCCACATCCAGCCCTGCACCGGGCTGCCTGCTCCGCGGGAAGCCTGCTTCTCCCTCTCTCACTCCCCCTGCTGGTGTGCCCTCTCTCGCTGTGTCTCTTTCTGTCAAATAATAAAGAAAATCTAAAAAAAAATTAAAAAAAAAAGACAGATAAGGAGGATAACAAAAACAATGATGGTGAGGAATTAAAATTTAAATATTACAAGTATTAAACACAAGACAGATTTGAAAAATTTATAATTAAAAAATCTAATTCTTCCATTTAATTCTAACTCTAAGAAAGCTTTAAAATGTCTTTAAAATGTTCAGATCTTGTGTTCTAATGTTCTTTGGATGACCACATTTAAGACACATGGTTGATATAGTCTCTCTGCCACCTGACAATTACTGTGGTTAAAACAGGTGCCAGTTTCTGGGATTACATAGTGTCTCTGGAATGTTTATTCCCAAAACGAGAAAATCCAAGAACCATCTGTTACTGTGGATCACTTACTTAAGCCATTGAGGTTGGCAATTTTTTCAATGCAGTTTGTAGACAGTGAAAGCTTCCTTAAAAAGAACAAAGGAAAACTTGAATTAATACAAAACAATTTTAAGTGGTATATCAGAAAAATAAATAAATAAATAAATAAATAAATAAATAAATTCTGTATCAGGAATTAATCAAGTGCCCATACAAGATAACATTTAAGTCATGTTTTCTTTTTACACCGAATCCTTTTTTTCCCTCTCAGACATGGCATGTATTCTTTCATTTTTTTTTAAAGATTTTATTTATTTATTTGACAGACAGAAATCACAAGGAGGCAGAGAGGCAGGCAGAGAGAGAGTGGGGGAAGCAGGCTCCCTGCTGAGCAGAGAGCCCGATGCGGGGCTCGATCCCAGGACGCTGGGATCATGACCCGAGCTGAAGGCAGAGGCTTTAACCTACTGAGCCACCCAGGAGCCCTGTATTCTTTCATTTTGAAATCAATCCTCATTTGAAATCAATCCACTTCTGATTACAGAAGTTAATACATATTTATTGCAGAAAATTTAAAAAAAACTTTCTGCAGGTAATTTGGTGTTACCTATTAAATTTTTTAAATGCATGTGTTCTTTGACCCAGTAATTCATTTCTAGGAATACATCCTACTGAAATGCTAATACCAATGCCAACAGACCTATAAGCTAGATTATTTAGTGTATTATTGTAATAGCAAAAAAATGGGGAAAAATCTGTAAACATCTAGCAACTGAGGGATAGATAATGGAAAACTATGCTGTCACTAATACAAATGAAACTGGGCTCCAGATACCAGCTTGGGAAGATGTCCATGATGTGTACTCAAGTTGAAAACCACCTAGCAGAACGATACATTTTATATGATCCCTTTTGATAAAAAGCAGAACTATAGGGTATCTGGGTGGCTCAGTTGGTTAAGCAACTGCCTGCGGCTCAGGTCATGATGCTGGAGTCCTAGGATCGAGTCCCACATTGGGCTCCCTGCTTGGCAGGGAGTCTGCTTCTCCCGCTGACCTCTCTCCTCTCATGCTCTCTCTCTCAAATAAATAATAAAATCTTAAAAAAAAAAAAAGCAGAACTATATATGTGCATGTACGAAGATATTTGTTTGCTTGTGTGTTAAATCATTCAGAAATGAATACTGAGGAAGCCATATGTAATCCTAACCACTCCACAGATTTCCCCAGAGAGAACTACTTTTAATGGTTTGTATATATTTGTCTAGATTTTTTCTACTCATAATTCAGTTATATAAAAAAATAATTTAGGGGTGCCTCGGTGTCTCAGTTGGCTGAGCCTCTGACTGTTGATCTCAGCTCAGGTCTTGATCTCAGGGTCATGAGTTCAGGCTCTGCATTGGGCTCCACAGTGGGTGTGGAGCCTACTTACCAAAAAAAAAAAGAAAGAAAAGAAAAAAATATTGTACAGGGACATAACTACACATTCTTAGTCATCCCTTCTTTTCTTTCTTTTTTATTATTAGTCATCCTTTCTTGACAAAAACATTTAATATTTTAGTTTACTTCATGCAAAAAATATAATAAAAGCTAATTTTATTGAACACAATCTGTGCTCAGTACTCTTCCAAGTACTTTACATAAACTGTTTGAACCATCACAACAATCCTGTGAAGTAAGTACTATTATGATCACCTGTATTTTACAAATGAGTAAACTGAGGTACAAAGATGTTTAGCAATTTGCCCAATATTACATAGCCAGAAAGGGGCAGAGACTAATTTAAATCCCTCCAAAACTGACTCTAAAACATGTGATCTTATCCTTTCTGATATGACTTGAAGAAGAATTATTCATTCTTTTTAATAAAAGCAACTACTGTGCAGTGTAAGTTATTGGTCAAATCTGTATATTTTCCAATAATCCCCAACTCCTGACTACTACAAGTGGAAAATGCCTTAAATCTGGGAATGTGATTGGGGATGAATTCTTTAATTGGTGTCTAGGCAACCTGCCCAAAGAGATTGTCAGCAAAAATACAAATAGGTTGACTCTTTCCAAGCCGCTTCCTAGTACTGTGGTACTAGGTACAAAACCTTCTCAAATATTTGCCTTGGAGATGGCCTTACGATAAAAAGATATCTGACCATTTGGAAACAGTGCTCTTTGAAGCCATGCTTTTGAAGCAAAAAAAAAAAAAAAAATCCAAGATGGAATTTTATATAATACACTGTGCTGTCATCATAAAGGACAAGTTGCATACAATAACGAAGTATGTTTGCTTTTCCCTTTCATTCCAAAGACAGATACTAGTCTAATGCGTGGGTTCACAAATTATGTGTCTAAGAGATACTCAAGTTGCTTATTATAAATACAGATTGGGGCACCTGGGTGGCTCAGCCATTAAGCATCTGCCTTCGGCTCAGATTATGATCCCAGGGTTCTGGGATTGAGCCCCACATCAGGCTCCCTGCTCAATGGGGAGCCTCCTTCTCCCTCTTCCACTCCCCCTGCTTGTGTTTCCTCTTTCACTGTCTCTGTCAAATAAATGAATAAACTCTTAGGGAAAAAAAAAGATTCCTAGATCTCATCAGTAGCTATTTTGTTTCTGTAAATTAGGATGGGGCTTATCTCATGTATAAGGAGATTCTTATGTTGGTAGTCAGTGCACTACACTTCGAAACACACAAGGTGGAGAAAGCAGAAAGAACCCCAGGTGTTTCTACAATATTCTACAGCTCTGAGAAGAGACACTGCTGCCAGAGAGCATGGTCACAAGGTGTCATGGTTGAACTGCCTCAAATTTGTCACAGAAGCTTGCTAAAAAGTACATAGAGTATTTAGAAAATAAGAGGATGAGTCCTAGGATCAAGTCCTATATGGGGCTCCCTGCTCAGAAGGGAGTCTGCTTCTCCCTCTGACTCTCCACTTCTCCTACTCTCTCTCTCAAATTAAAAAAAAAAAAAAAGAAGAAGAAGTTAAGAGGAATTAATATAGATTTGGTACTTAAAGTCATGGGAAAATTACAAAATATTAAGTATAATTTGATCTTCATTAGGAAAAAAAATTAGAAGGCTCTATATCAGAATGCTAATACTGGTTCTCAAAAGGTGGTACAATTTTGGTTAATATTAACTCTTTCCTTTGTGCTCTTTGTATTTTCTAGATGTTTTACAATGTATTTTTATAATTTGAAAAAAATTTTACAGCAGTATCTCTTAGTCCTCTGCTAAGTATAGTGCTGACTGGCTAATCTTATAAGAGAAATTATTAGGTTTTATGGCAGGATAATAGTATTACTGTGTTATTTAGTTTCTCCCAAGAGACAAGGAAACTTCTATTCTCCAGGCGCATTATACAAATTTTACTGTAAAAAAATACTACATTGTTCAAGCTTACTTTATTAGTAGTCCCATAAACCAGTAATCTCTTATGTTTGGCCTTGCCAAAGGGGGAACTGCACTAACCAAACAAACAAAAGAAGAGAAATGAAGATCATAGGAAACAAACACATTTTTTCTGGTTTGTGTATTTAGAAAAGAAAGGGAAAAAGACAAGAGAACTTACTCGCAATTAGCAAGCGTGGACAAGGAGGCATCCATCTTCTCTATAGGGGGAATCTGAGCATAAAGCTTAATCTCTTTGGCTTCGGATGGCTTCTGACTGGTTTTCTCTTCCTATGACAAAAATTAGTTTGGAAGAAAGTGAAACCTGATTGTAACACAGAACTAAAAAAGTACAGACTACCCTAAGGCTTTTCAAAGTTTATTTCAAAACAGTTCTTAGAATTTGATAACTCTGCATTCTTTACAATTCACTTACTGACATTTACTAACTGGCCCTGACAACCAGGCTTCTACCTGGCCGGTTCAGATAATTTACTGATAGGTCCCAACCAAGTGGAAGGGAGGAGGAAAGAAAATAACTTTCCTCTCTGTAATATTTAAAATCCTTGGGATGCCTGGGTGGCTCAGTGGGTTAAGCATCTGCCTCCAGCCTCAGGTCATAATCCCAGCACCCTGGGATCAGTCCCACATCAGGTTCCTTGCTCAGCAGGGCGTCTGCTACCTCCCTCTGCCTGCTGCTCCGCCTGCTTGTACTCTCTGACAAATAAGTCAATATATACAATCTTTAAAATAAAATAAAATAAAATCCTTTAAGAGTTGGGACACTTGAATGGCTCAGTCAGTTAAGCATCTGCCTTCAGCTCAGGTCATGACACCAGGGTCCCAGGATCGAGTCCCTCATCGGGCTCCTTGCTCAGCGGGGAGCCTGCTTCTCCCTCTGCCTGCCTCTCCCCCTGCTTGTGCTTGCACTCTCTCTCTCTCTCTCTCCCTCTGACAAATAAACAAACAAAAGCATTTTTAAAAAATCCTTTAAGAGGGGCACCTGGGTGGCTCAGTGGGTTAAAGCCTCTGCCTTCGGCTCAGGTCATGATCCCAGAGTCCTGGGATCGAGCCCCACATCGGGCTCTCTGCTCAGTGGCGAGCCTGCTTCCCCTTCTCTCTCTGCCTGCCTCTCTGCCTACTTGTGATTTCTCTCTCTGTCAAATAAATAAAGAAAATTTTAAAAATAAATAAATAAATAAAATAAAAAATAAAAAATCCTTTAAGAGTCTAATAATAAACAAAAATACAACAATAACAACATTTTCTTGGGAAGAGTTCTTTGTCCCTAAGCACCCTTTTCTTAAATATGAGATTTAGATCTATAAGATCAACTATTTTGTCATCTTATCTTGCTTTTTCTTTTTCTTTTAATTTTATTTATTCCTTTGCCAGAGACAAAGAGTAAAGCAGGGGGAGCAGCAGACAGGAGAAGCAGGCTTCCAGCCGAGCAAGGAATCTGATGCCGTGATTCCATCCCAGGACCCTGGGATCATGACCTGAGCCAAAAGCAGACACTTTACCGACTGAGCCACCCAGGTGTCCCACTTCTTGTTTTTTCTGCACACAGTTCAGTCTGAGATAGAGCTCCAAAATACCAAGAATTCGGGAAGATGTCATCCTTACAACACAGCCAAAGTCAAAGATAGTAATTTACTCTATAATAATTTACTACTAAATTCTATCTTAGATTTTCAGTACTATGTACACAATTTAATATTACCAATATATGCTGCCTAATAATATTTTCAAAGTACCTCCCTACTTAAAGTTAGTTCTCTCTCTCCAACAAAACAGGAAGCTCCTAAAGTGCAGGACCATTTCCTTTGCTTTCCTGCATTTTCTAGAACAGTGCACTAGCAGACATACAGAGCCTTATTTTTTTTTTTAAGATTTTATTTAACTTATTTCACAGACAGAGATCACAAGTAGGCAGAGAGGCAGGCAGAGAGAGAGGGGAAAGCAGGCTCCCTGCCAAGCAGAGAGCCCCATGCAGGGCTCGATCCCAGAACCCTGAGATCATGACCTGAGCCGAAGGCAGAGGCTTTAACCCACTGAGCCACCCAGGCGCCCCCAGAGCCTTATTTTTAAAATTCAAATTGTAACATGTCAATACTAGAAAATACACAATTTAAAAAACAACAAAAAAGAAAATACACAGTACATTGAAAGAAAAAGATCTAATACACATACACTGAGTACTTATTTTTGTGTCATACATTTGTAGGTTATGAGAGGGAAACTGATACATAGTAGATCCTGAATAAATGTTAGGTTAATCAGTGAAAGAACGAGCTTAGTGTCTTCAATCAATCTTAAAGTTAAAGATTTATGGCCACAATATAATCTAGAAATAGAACCTACAACCCAAAACAAAAACGCAACCACTTATTATTTAAGTAAATTAAGTCCTAAAATCTAATTCAAAGAAAATCTAATCTAATACTAAGCTTATTCCATATTTACTTTTCTTCTTTAAGAAAACAGATTTTTCATTAACCAAACAGAAATGAATTTTTAAATGTGAAGTACAGAGAAGTTTATAAGCACCAAAACAAGAATTCAAATATTTCATTATTCTATCCACCTTATTTTCCCTAGACACAAGTCTGCTGAAAGATTTTTTTTTTCCTGAAAGACTTTTGATTCAAAGCTCAGCCTCAAAAGCAAAAGACATATATTATTCAAAAAACCTTTGATAATATCCACAAAAAAGTTATCACTGGGCATAGAAATTGAGGAGCTATGTCAATACTCTAAGGAAATTCTATTTATGATGCTGAATTACAACTGTTCAAACTTTATAGAATGATTTATTCAAAATATCTATAGTTTATATTCAATTCATTTATTTTATAATGCAGTTTCCTTTCTTATGTTAATATATACCTTAATATTTTTTCCAGCGTTATTGACACTTAACATTGTATAAGTTTAAGGTGATGATCTGATACCTGTATATACTGCGAAATGATTAACACAATTAGGTTAGCTAACACATCCATCACCTAATTTTTTACTTTGGGTGCAAAGAAAATTTAAGATCCACTCTCTTAGCAACTTTCAAGTATATAATGCAATATTATTAACTATAGTCACCATGCCGTATATCAGATCCCCAGGACTTGGCTTATAACTGGATGTCTGTACCCTTTGACCAACATCTCCCATTTCCCCCACACCCAAATCCCCCGCAATCACTGTTCTACTCTTCATTTCCGGGTTCAGCTTTTTTAGATTTCACATATGTGTGAGATCACAGAGTATGTGTCTTTCTCTGTCTTGCTTATGTCACTTTGCATAATGCACTCAAGGACTGTCCATGTTGTAAATGGAAGGATTTCCTTCTTTTTTGTGGCTGAATAATATTCTACTCTGTAGATATACAATTTTCTTTATCCATTTACCCACTGATGGGACATGTAGGGTGTTGATATTGATATAATCCACTGATTTTGATCAGACTTTCCCAGTTTTACTAGTACTCATTTATACACAAGTGTGAATGCATTGGTATGTGCGTATTAAATGTATACAATTTTATCACCTATACAGGTTCATGTACCCACTGCCACAGTTAAGACAGTTAAATAGTTCCAGTGCCACAAAGATTCCTTGTGCTGACTGGTCAGATTTAAATAACTATCCAATAATTCTTGTATGGTTTCTAAAAGAGGTAAAAATTCACATACTCACCCATCTGGCTAGAGCTTCTTTGATTGTTGTTGCTTTTGCCTTAAAAGGAAAGGAAACAAGAGTATCTTTATTGGTATGATTTGTTGATTCGATTTTCACACAATGATTATTAGCCTCAGCATCTACCACTGAAAAGATTAACTTCTTTCTTTGAGACCTTACATGCAAAAAATACAAGTATTTTAACTTCCTCAAATCAGGATGATTTATTTAAATGCCTCTCAGAGAAATTAAGGAAATCATGATGCAATGCCCATATACTTCTCTCCCACTTGGTTTACAGAAAGATACAGTTTTCAACATTTGATATTACAATAGATCTTATGGGTCAGTGGGTTAAGCCTCTGCCTTTGGCTCAGGTCCTGATCTCAGGGTCCTGGGATCAAGCCCTGCCTCGGGCTCTTTGCTCAGTGGGGAGCCTGCTTCCCTCTCTCTCTGCCTACTTGTGATCTCTCTCTGTGTCAAATAAATAAATAAAATCTTTAAAATAAAATTGAAAAAATAGATCTTATTTCATTGATTCTAAGATCGACATCTTTTACGTTTTAATATCTTTGAAATTTGGATGCATTTTACAACCAGGAACAATCTACAATTACTGTGGCCGGGTAGCAATGGTGATGATCTAGAAAAATATTAAGCAATTTATTTAATATACATATATTCTTTTTTATGTTTGCAAATAATGACTTACGATAAAAACCTACATGCCTAAATACATTTAAAAGAACTTTGTCGGGGCGCCTGGGTGGCTCAGTGGGATAAGCCTCTGCCTTCAGCTCGGGTCCTGATCCCAGGGTCCTGGGATTGAGCCCCCCCATCGGGCTCTCTGCTCAGCAGGGCGCCTGCTTGCCTGTCTCTCTCTGCCTGCCTCTCTGCCTACTTGTGATCTCTCTCTGTCAAATAAGTAAATAAAATTTAAAAAAAAAAGAACTTTGTCGATAGGCACAAAATAAAAATTCTAAGTGATAAGAAATTAATTGTCATGATTCAATTCCAACTACTTATTTTTCTTTCTTAAAACATAAAATAACGTTGCACCTTATAATCAATAGTATCTTAGATTCAATTTAATATGACACTTAAAAGTTATTTTATTTCTTTAAGATTTTATTTATTTGACAGACAGATCACAACTAGGCAGAGAGGCAGGCAGGGAGAGGAGTAAGCAGGCTCCCTGCTGATCAGAAAGCCCAATGTGGAGCCTGATCCCAGGACCCCGGGACCATGACCCTATCCGAAGGCAGAGGATTTAACCCACTGAGCCACCCAGGAGCCCGAACACTTAAAACTTTAAATGTGAGAAAAGGGAGACATCTTTTCATTACTGCTAGAGTTCATTTAGAAAAAATCCTAAGCAGGTGCCTGGATGGCTTAGTGGGTTGAAACCTCTGCCTTTCGCCCCAGTCGTGGTCCCAGGGTCCTGGGATCGAGTCCCACGTCAGGCTCTCTGCTCCATGCGGAGCCTGCTTCCTCCTCTCTCTCTGCCTGCCTTCCTCTATGCCTACTTGTGATCTCTGGCTGTCAAATAAATAAATAAAATCTTTTTAAAAAATCCTAAGGAATAACAAAAGGAAAAGTTTAAAAGTACAGTTAACTCTCCAACAAGACAGGCATTAGGGACACCAACCTCCCCTGCCCCAAACCCACAACACAGTAAAAAATCTGAGTATAACTTCTGACTTGCCAAAAAATACTAAAAGCCTACTATCAACCAGAACCTTACTAATAACATAAACATTTGATTAATGCACATTTTGCACATCACATGCATTATATACTGTATTCTTACAATAAAGTAAACTACAAAAAAGAAAATGTTATTATGAAAATCATAAGAGGGGTGCCTGGGTGGCTCAGTAGGTTAAGCATCCAACCCTTAGTTTTGGCTCTGGTCATGACCTCAGTCAGGGTCGAGAGATAGAGCCCCATATTGGGCTCAGCGTGGAATCTGCTCAAGATTCTCCCTCCCTCTCAGCCCCTCCCCTGACTCATGTGCTCTCTCTCAAATAAATTTTAAAAAAAGAAAAAAAATCATAAGAGGAAATACACTTACAGTATTGCAGTGTATTTATTGGAAAAAAATCTGCATATAAATGGACCGGTATAGTTCAGGCCTATGGTGCTCAACTGTATATACCATTACATCTAGAAAGCAAAGACATAGTAATAAATAATCGTTGGGTTAAAAGTAAACTATAAACAACAGTAAAACAAAAAAAATAAAAGAAGAAATATAAAAATTTTAGGAATATAACATTTAAAAGGAAACTTACGGTTTCAAATATATTTATCTATTCAAAAATTAAGAGAAAATAAGAAACAGAAAACAAGCCAAGTATTTGAGATATTTGAAAAAGCACGTCATTGCAAACACAAAGAAGGCTAAGGAAAATACAAAGGAATAAGTCTATAAAAAACAGACCTGAAGAAAAAAAGCTTAACAAAACTAAAATCTGGTTCCTAAATCTCTAGCAAGGCTGACTGAGCAAAAAGAGAGCTGTATGACGAAAACAGAGAATCAGAGGAAATAACAGATACCGCAAAGATTTAAAAATAAAATATCATAAGCAAACATATGGTAGTTTGAAAACCTAGAAAGAATGCATTTCTAGAAAAAACACAAAAGTGTCAAACTGTCACAGGAAGAATCAGAAAATCTGAATAGACCAATAATTATTTTCAATGTTAAAAAGATGACCAGAGATTTACCCTTATCCTCTTCCCCTACATCTCCAAGCTTAGATAATTTTACAAGTAAATCCTGACAAGGTTTCAAGGAACAGATATTCTCTGTTAACAGACAAGTTGTTTTAGAAACCAGAAAAGGAGGGAAAGCTGCCAATTTACTTTATGAGGCTAGAATAACCTTGATGTCATAACCAGATAAGAGGCCCTCCTTACTTCTCAACACAGATGTGAAAATCCTAGATACAACATTAGATCTCCAAAGCCAATGGTGAATAATAATCAGGGTCAAGAATGGCTGATCCCAGGAGCATAAGGATTGTTTAACCAAAAAACCCCATAAATGTAAATCACCTATTTATGGATTAAAGGGGAAAAAATCACATTTATTTCAGGAAGTGAGGAAAAAGTACTTTATAAAATAGTTGTACATCTGGGGCACCTGGGTGGCTCAGTCAGTTAAGAGTCTCCCTTCAGCTCAGGTCATGATCCCTGGACCCTGGGGTAGAGCCCTTCCCCTCCCACAGCCCGCTTCTCCCTCCCCCTCTCCCTCTCCCTCTGTCTGCCGCTCCCCTTGCTTGTACGCTTGCTCTTGCTCTCTCTCTCTCTCTCCCTCTCTCTCTCTCCCTCTCGCTGTCAAATAAATAAATAAAATCTTTTTAAAAAGTAACATTCTACATCTAACATTAAAAGCTCTCAACTAAGAGTTACAAGGAAATTCTTTACTTGATAAAAGCTACATACCAAAAAGCTATCACAAACGCCAGACTTAAGACAGTCATTCATTTCAGCAAATATTCAGTAAGTGTCTACTATATACCAAACATACGTTTACATGCTTGGGAAATATCAAGGAACAAAACAAAGATTCCCAACTTCTATAACTTACATCCACTGGCGGGAGACACGTGGTAAATAATATATTAAATAAATACATTTTATAGTATATTAGAAAGTGACAATTACTAAGGAAAAAGAAAAAACAAAAACAAAAACGCTGAATTTCGAAGAGGTACCAGGATGTGCGTTTATGTGTGTAAAGTATGTGTATTTTAAATAAGGTGGAAAGAAGAGCAAATTGGAAAGGTAACACGAGAAGTCTTCTCTTTATGATCCCCAATACATCAGAGATCCCTACTATCACTGCTGTTGTTTAACATGGTACAAGAGATCTTTATCAATGTTATAATAAAAGAAAATACAAATTGGAATGATTTAAAGGAAGAAATAAAACGCACGATGCGTACGTGATCATTTACATAGGAAATACAATAGAACAAACTGAGAAATAGAACAAATGGAATTCAGCAAGTGAAGAACACTGTTGAGAGAGTTAACAGAAAAGCTGGGAGAAGAGATTTTCAACATAAAACCAACAAAAGACTAATAGAGAATATAGAGGGAACTCCTAAAATTCAAAAAACAAAAAATGGAAAAAGCAAAATAAATATAAACAGAGAATTAACAGAAATTGAAATCCAAATGACTAACAATATCATGAGGTACTGGAACTCACTGAGAATCAGAGGAATGCAGAGTAAAACAACGGAATACTAAAATACATCCTCAGATTGGCAAAGGTGAGAAATTTGGTGAGAATGTAGAACTCTCAGGCAGTACTGAAGGAAGTAAAAACTAGTAGAGAGAGGGGTGGCTGGCTGACTCGGCCAGCAGAGCATGCAACTTTTGATCTCAGGGTGGTGAGTTCAAGACCCACGTTGGGGGTAAAGCTTACTTAAAATCAAAACAAAACAAAACAAACTAGCAGACTTCTGGAAAGCAGTCTGACAATACCTAGGGAAATTAAGTATGCAGAGGCCCTATGACTCGGAAATCTCACTGCTGGGTAGATTTCCAAAAAAATCCCTGTATAGTACCATGAAAAGACACGTCTGATAATACTTTCAAACTGGAAGCAATCTGGCAAGTTGGTTTATGAGGTTACTAGTTCCCTATAGATAGAGGTCAAAAACTGAAATGCCTAAAGGACCAGTGGACAGCTTTTTTTTTTTTATTGTGTTATTATTTTTTTTATTTCTTTTCAGCGTAACAGTATTCATTGTTTTTGCACCACACCCAGTGCTCCATGCAATACGTGCCCTCCCTAATACCCACCACCTTGTTCCCCCAACCTCCCACCCCCCGCCCCTTCAAGACCCTCAGGTTGTTTTTCAGAGTCCATAGTCTCTCATGGCTCACCTCCCCTTCCAATTTCCCCCAACTCCCTTCTCCTAACTCCCCATGTCCTCCATGCTATTTGTTATGCTCCACAAATAAGTGAAACCATATGATAATTGACTCTCTCTGCTCGACTTATTTCAGTGGGCATCTTTAATGGGTAAAGCTGGCCATATAAAGAGAATAACCTCAACTCTGGCATTAGAAAACAGCTGGCACGTGGGACTTGGGACAAGATGTCTCCAAACGTTAAAACTCCATTACTGAAAATAACACCCTTTACTAAGAAAGTAAAGATGCTGCCAATTATACAACACCATCATATTTTAGTAATACAAAAATAGGGCGAAAATGTGTCCAGTGGTGAAATATAGTATTTCTGATTTTTCACAGAGGCCATAAACCTGGGTTTTGATGTGAAATACAATCATTTAAAGACAATGGAAGCTAAGGCAGTTTGTTTTTTTTTTTTTTATAAAGATATTTATTTATTTATTTATTTGAGAAAGAGAGAGAGCGAGAGAGCAACAACACAAGAGCAGGCTTGATCCCAGGACTGGGGGATCATGACCTGAGAGGAACGCAAATGCTTCACTGACTAACCCACCCAGACGCCCCGGAGGCTAACGGATTGTTCATTGACAAAACTATGCTGGCCTGATTTCTGGAGGGCTCTGGACCGACCGGTTTCCAGCCTTAGCTAGCTTCATCTAATTACTGGTTCTGATTCTCTATTTGGCGATTTTCAGTAATTCTCATGGATCAAGCTTTCAAAATCGCTTAGGGCTGATTATTTCTTCACCTGAATATAAACCTAGGTTCCAGAACTTTTTCCTTTCTTTGGTAGTGCTTTTCAGCTAAATGCCTGTCGAATAAAGTAAGGAAAGTGTGCGGGAAAACTACTTTTAAAAGTGGTATTTAATCCTGTGGTTGAAGGCAAGCATGACTTCCTCATCATTTCAATTTCCTGGGCTCAATTTCTGCCCACTTACACAGCACTGGAATCACAAAAAGAAGACAACCAATTGTACTTGTTCTTCATAAACACCTCCACCGGACAGGACAATCACATAGTTGCTAAACAGCTTTGACTCTGTAATCAACCAACAACAACCCTTTTCAAACTGCTAGGCGGAACTACCAAACCTGTACGCAACACTGCACATTTTTTTTAAACCTTTTTTCTCTTTTTTAAAGATTTTATTTATTTATTTATTTGTCAGAGAGAGAGAGCGAGAGAGAGAGCGAGGACATGCAGGCAAAGTGCCAGGCAGAGGCAGAGAGAGAAGCAGGCTCCCTGCCGTGCAAGGAGCCTGATGCGGACTTCATCCCAGCAATCTGGGATCCTGACCTGGGCTGAAGGCAGTGGCTTAACCGACTGAGCCACCCGGGTGTCCCAACACTGCACATTTTAAGGAGGAGATGAGGAGCATCAGTAAGTAAAATCACTCCTTCATAAAGGTCTTTGATTGGATAGATCACGGAGAGATTTCAAATCCCAGGTAGCAGTACGGACGCCCTCCAATTTTAGAATCACTTGAGGTGCACCGTCCAAATGCAATTCCCGAATCCCATTGCATTAAGAATTCATAATCTCCATTCCAGCAAGCTCAGTCTTCAGCCCACTATACTTATGCATACTTAAACTTGAGGAACATCTCCTAATACAGTCTATCCGAATAGGCTTTACAGTGCTACCTAATACCTGCACTTACAGTCCTTGAGAGGACAACCCGGGCACCTCACAGGTAAGGAGTACCGCGGCAGTCGGGGTTACACACACGCCTCTCATAACCAGCTCCCCGCGCCCCGTCTCGCCAGGGGGAAAATGACTGCTACGCACAGAAAAATCCTTATTCGCACTCCGCCTTCATCACCTTTCCCACTCTAATCCGCTCTTTTTCGAGAAGTTCCTGCTCTCTGCGCTCCCTTTCTCTGTCAGAGTCCCTCCACACGCACCCAACCTCCGCTCTGCCCCAGGCCGCCCGCACCCCAGACCGCGCCGTGCCGGGGCTTCTCTTTCGCCTCAGGCCTCTGACTGCGGAGCTAGCGCCGGCGACCGGCTTCCTTCCGCTGACCGAGAAGCGCTCCGACCCTCAACACTCCACAGTCACCCTTTTTCACCTCCAGTCTCCTCTCCTCTTTGACTACGAGGCCTAGAGGGTACTCACCATCCCGGCCGTTGCTACTGTCACTGCTCTGGTTGCTAGGGCCCGCCGAGGTCAGTGCGCGTGCGCACTTCTCGGAGCCCTCCGTGGAGCCCACCCCCGGCAGTGGTCCTTTCTCTCCGCCCTCCGGGTGGCGCGTGCGGGGCATTGTGGGACCTCCCGGCAGCCGCCTCGGTCCTCCCGCCGGGCAGCGGCTCGCTTCCCAGCATGTGCGGCGGGGCTGCTGGGCTCTCGCAGGATGCGAGAGCTCCGCCATGCAGGGTGGTCAGGAGATGCTTTCTACCGAAAGCAGTTTCACTCGCTCCGCAGTGACGTGCCTGCCTAAAGTTGAAAACCTCGCTATAAAATTGCCCTTCCCGTAAACAACTTTAAAAATAAATTCCCTTCTCCCGCAGGTTGCCCATCGCATCCTTGTCTTTATCGCCTGTTATAATTCACCTGTAGTTCGACCTAAACGAAATTCTTTGTTGTTGTTGTTGTTCATTTTATGACTGAAACTAAATTCAGCTGAATTTCCTCGGTTGCCTTTCCCCAACCCCTCCGTGGAGCCAGAGGCGAATGAAAGCATAAAACGGTGATTTTTAGATGACCGAGATGTCCTCTCCTGCTCTCCTCCTATTAAATTAGACAAAAACTGTAAAAATACTGAGTTGCTAGGGGTATGGAGAAATGCGGTGGCGTATATACACTGCTCTTTAAAACTGACACAGCCTTTGTGGAGAGCTGTTGGTCATAGTATGAAAAGCTTTCAAAACGTGTGCACCTCTGGGACCCAGCAGTTGGACTTCTAGGACTTCATCTTGGAGAAATAATCAGACAAGTGCACAGAGATTTATGTTCAAGGTTTTAATAGCAAAAAGTAAAATAACCCAAATGTCAAGAGGGAAAAAATTGGTATTATCAAACATCCAAACAATGAAATAATATACTTCCATGAAGAATGTTGCTGAAAGGGGCCCCTGGGTGGCTCAGTGGGTTAAAGCCTTTGCCTCTGGCTCAGGTCACGATCCCAGGATCCTGGGATAGAGCAGCATACTGGACTCTCTGCTCAGCAGGGAGCCTGCTTCCTCCTCTCTCTGCCTGTCTTTCTGCCTACTTGTGATCTCTGTCAAGTAAATAAATAAAAGAAAAAAGAATGTTGCTGAAATGGGATTCCTGGCTGGCTCAGTCAGTTAAGCTTCCGACTCTTGATTCCGGCTCAGGTCATGATCCCAGGATCCTGGGATCCAGCCCCACACTGGGCTCCTTGCTCACTGTGGAGCCTGCTTCTCCTTCTCCCTCTGCCTGCCTCTCTGCTCACTTGCGCGCTCTCTCTCTGTCGAATAAATGAATAAAATCCTTTTTTTAAAAAGTTGTTGAAATGCATCTATTCACATGCAGTCATGATGTCCTAATTTATAATGCAAGTTACCAAACAAAATAGTTGGTATAATCTTCTTGAAAATGATATACCGCAGGGATGCCTGGATGGCTCAGTCCGTTAAGCCTCTGACTCTCGATTTTGACTCCAGTCAAGATCTGGGGGGGTGGATCTCATCCTGGGCACGGAGCCTGCTTGGGATTTTCTCCCACTCCTTCTCCCTCTGCCCCTGCTCCCACTTGAGCACACACACTCTCTCTCTAATAAATCTAAAAAAATTATATACCGTGGACACATTTAGACATAACATATATCTAAAAGAATATTATGAGAGTCTAATGTTTGCTGCAGATTGAATTGTGTCCTCCCCACTCAAATTCATACGTTGAAGCTCTAAGTCCACTGTGACTGTACTTGGAAAGAGGGCTGTTACGGAGGTAATTTCAGTTAAATGAGGCCATAAGAGTGGGGCCCTAATCCAATATAACTAGTGTCCTTAGAAGAGGAATAAACATGCTAGGAGTGGTGGTCACAGAGGAAAGGCCATCCAAGGACACAGTAAGAAGATGGTCACCTGCAAGTCAACAAGAGAAGCCTCACCCACAACTAACACTGCTGGCATCTTGATTTTGGAATTTCAGCCTCCTGTACTGTGAGGAAATAAATTTCTGTTGTTTAAACCACCCAGTCTGTGGTATTCTACTATGGCAGCCTGAGAAGACTAATATGGTGTTCATTTTGCTTCTCTATTCTCTGATTATTCTATTCTGGAATGTGAATATTTATTTATTTATTTATATTTAATTTAATTAAAAAAATTTTTTTTTTTTGTAGATAGGCTAGGCTCCACACCAGGCATGGGGGCCAACATGGGACTTGAACTCATGACCCTGAGATCAAGTCCTGAGCTGAGATCAAGAGTTTGACCCTTAACCAACCAAGCTACCCAGAAGCCCCTGTAAAGTGGATATTTTAAATTTTGAAATAACAAATAAATTCCATTTTGAAAAAGGTAATTGAATCAGATTAAAAAAAAAACAGGAAACACTGAATTGTTTATTAAAGAAAATTAAAATGGATATTCATAGGGGCGTCTGGATGGCTCAGTCATTTAAGCATCTGCCTTTGGCCCAGGTCATGATCCCAGGGTCCTGGGATGGAGTCCTTCATCAGGCTCCTTGCTCAGTGGGGAGCCTGCTTCTCCCTCTGCCTACCACTCCCCTTGCTTGTTATTTCTCTGACGAATAAGTAAATAAAATCTTTTTAAAAACTTTAAAAAAATAAAATGGGTATTCATAACATATCTAGCCTTTTTGCTTGTAGTGTTTTGTTTCGTCTTGTTTCAGATCTCCATACTACCACACCTCTCCAAACTAGAATTTATCCTGCCTGCCAAAACAGCCACCAGTTTTGCTGAGGTGGCTGAAATGGGAATTTAATCCTTGAACATATCTTCTAACCTAATAGAGTATGCCTTTTGCTCAAAACTGTGGATTACATCAGAAGGCGTTGGCATTAAAGGTAAAATACCACTAGTCAATCCATTCCTTCTTCATGCTTGTTCAGAATGTTATTTACTTCCTCCTCATCATCGGAGGAGGAAACTTTGACTATGAATATGTCTTATTTACCTCCAAATAAACTATTTACCACTACATAAGCAGAAATGTGCTGAGTTTCAGATTCTCAAAGGTTAAAACCATTCACACAGGAAAAGAAAGAATTATAGAACTTGGATCCTTTCTTAGTTCTTCCGAGTCCTACCAAATGGCAAAATAGATTCAAAAAGCTGTTCACCAGAGACTTCGACTTTGGATCTACTTGCTCTTCCTGCAGGCCTAGAAGAAAGTTGAGAGAAAGATTAAAACTACTATTGAAACAGTTTCCCCAAATTCAGAAAATCTGGCAGACCCGTTGAAAAGTAAAGGTAAAAGAGTGTGAATGGTAGCCACTGAGTATGTTAAGGAATCTTTAATTCTCTGAACAAGAATGTGGGTTGAATAAAAGAGAAAGAAAATGTCACATTTACCAGATGATTAGAGATTGAGCAAAATAGCTAAAAGTTACATACCTTAAAACTAAAAAAAATTTAAGAATTTAAAGCTTAGGAGAGTCATTAATTGTTAAGGTCATTTATACAGTCAAAGGTTTATCTGTTCAAATAGAAGTGAGCTTTGTAACAAATTCCAGTAGTCAGTTTCCCAGATTATTATTCTCATTATAATTATTTGATAAAAAGCTAATTTCTCCCCTATGGTTTTGGTCTGTTTAAAAAAATTTTTTTTTTTAAATCTTACATGAATGAGGTTCATGTAAGTTAAACCTGTCTTTGGCTGAGGTCATGATCCCAGAGCCCTGGGATAGGAGCCCCCAAAGGGCTCTGCTCTGCCCTTCCCCCTGGTGCTCTTGCTTTCTCTCAAATGAATAAAATCTTAAAAAAAAAATCTTACATGGATAACCCAAAAATCAGGAGGTAGTACATATGTATTTAGGTATGTATAAAGTATGACACATACACTTTCTTTTGATGTTAATAATTTGAAACATATATTATGTTTTAAAAATAACGTTAATTTGTGGGAGGGAAAGTATTAATACTACAAATTAGGGTGCCAACACTTCATCCTCTGCCAAGAGCCCAAAATATATAGTTCTGACCACAGGATCCACTGATCAAGCAAAATCAAAGGCTGATCATTAATACTTTAATCTTCCCCTTCAATTATGTGGAAGAAAAACCCACTAAACTGAAAGTAAATTCTGAGAACTTTTAACATCTTCTAATTCCGCACATATTTTCTTTAACATTTATTTATTTATTTCTTTATTTGACAGAGAGAGAGGTCACGAGGAGGCAGAGAGGCAGGCAAAGAGAGGTGGGGGGAAGCAGGCTCCCTGCTCCCAGGACCCAGAGACCATGACATGAGCCGAATGAAGGCAGAGGCCCAACCCACTGAGCCACCCACGTGCTCCTCCACACGTATTTTTAAAGTTTAAAATCAAATCTCAGAACTTCAGTTAAAATGATTTTAATAAATTATACTCATCTATAAGTTGCAATTAAAGCTTTAGTGAGGGTGGTGGAAAGTAGAAGGGATGAACCCAGTCTTTACCTCAGATAATTACATTGTCTACTTGTGTCATTATCAGCTCGGGAGGAGAACCGGAATGTGCCTATTTTTAAATATGTTTTTGAAGCAAAGCGTGAAGAAAAGTTTTTTAAAGTTCAAACACAGACATAGAGGAACTGTAAAGAATCAGTGTTTCTCAGTAATTGGTCAGCAGTTTTAAAGCAAGTATTTTAGGATGCCTAACTTTCTTTAAAGATCCTAGAACAGGTAGCAACTAGAAAAAAAAAATCAAAACCTGATTAACAACAGAAAGGATTCTATGACTTCAGTCTTACCACAAATGAATCTCTGAGTCATCTTGTTAGAGTTCACTCCAGCCTCTATTATGAGAAACCTATCATGGTCCAGTGGCTCTTCATCATTAAACCGGGGACCTATATTTATGTATTCAACCCGGTTTAAAACAGTTTTATAATCTCTGGGACACATAATATCAAACTAATTCTCATACACCAGTTTTTTTTTTAAGATTTTATTTATTCATTCATGAGAGACAGAGAGAGAGAGAGGCAGAGGGAGAATCAGGCTCCCTACGGAACAAGGAGCCCGATGTAGGACTCAATCCCAGGACCTGGAGATCATGACCTGAGCCAAAGGCAGATGCCCAAACATCTGAACCACCCAGG